ACGGCACATAACAACAACAACAACAACATACAGGTTGAATAAGTATGGTGAAAGAATACAACCTTGTAGCACAACTTTCTTAATTTTAAAACATTCAAGTGTTCCCATGTTCTGTTTGAACAACTGCTTCTTGGGCCAGGTACAGAATCCTCAAGAGTACAATTAAGTGTTCTGGAATACTCATACTTCGCAACGTTGTCCATAGCTTGTCATGATCCACACAATCGAAAGCCTTTGCATAGTCAATAAAGCACAGGTAAACATCTTTCTGATATTTTCTGCTTTCAACCAAGATCCATCGGACATCAGCAATGATATCTCTCATTCCACGGCCTCCTCCTCTTGAAAGAATGGGTCACTGAAAATCTTAGGAAACACAGTTTGACTCTGGCATACACAGGGCTGGAGTGAGGAGACAAGTCAGTAGCAGCGGGCAGTTTTATAAATGTATGAAAACAAGATGCAACATAGAAGCACACTGACTCTAAACCAGGGCCTCACAGTTAGTTTTCTGCCTCAGTACTCGGAGGGATACAATACTTTCCAGTTAACATGGCTCGACACAGCAGCCAAAGAAGAGCATGCACTTTGCAAAGCAACCAGGAATGTCTTTCCTCATTGTGATACATGTTGTCCTCAAACCTATATCCTCTCCCCTAGAGCCCAGCTCCAGCTGAGAATCACACTCCTTACAAGAATTAAGACAAAATACTGAATTTATTCAGTTAACCAATCACATTGGACAAAACATTGGTTTCATTTACATTCTGTAAAAACATACTTTAAGGAAAAAAAAAATATATATATACATGAGATCATTTCATGAAAGCATTTGCTGTAAAACATACACAGTATGCTATTTTAAAATACAAATGCTTGGCAGAAAGTAGAGGTATAAGGATTATAAAAGAAGCATCACTAAGAATTTATAAAAGTTTCTCTTTTTCTTTAAGGTCACAGTTTCATCCTTTGGGATGTACAGAAATTATGTGGTTTACACAGTTTTATTCACATTCAAAACATCATGTTTTAAATGCTCTCAGCATAGCATGTACAGTACAAAATGTTTCCATAGGAACACAACAGAACGCGCCACTAGGGGTGTGCTGTCAGACGGCGCCGATATCACCAGTTCACCATTTTCAAAACACTAGTTCCACAAACTGCTACAATACTCAAGTTATTCTAGTTACCCCAAAATAGAATTAATTCAATTTCTACTAGACTCTACCAACAAAGGCTCGAAGGATTATGATACAATATTTAGGCCAAACAGCTACACAAAAATCTTACATTTAAATTAGAATCAACAATAGTGATTTTAGGCTAATATATTATCTTTGTGATTAAAAAGTTGAGCAAAGTGCAAAGTGAATGGAATCAGTCACCAAAAATGATCCTTCTTTGGATTCTAGAGGTCTTTGATGGTGTCAGACCGCCTCAGAAATGAGAAAGTGTAGAGTTGTGTACCATAGAGCTGCCCAGACGGGGTACACAGGAGCCACTTGGACCTCACATTCGTGTGTCATTGGAGTCACATTGTGTAGCTTCATAATACATGGCACCAGTCATTGTGCAGAGTCAGCAGAATCAGCTTCCAGAAGATAAAGGCTGAGTCTTCATTCAGAGGAAATGACATCACCAGTTAGCCATACTCGAGCGTGGGGGGACCCCGGACAAGGTTGAAATAGCCAGCCAGGGCCCCCAGGTCTATGTAGAGAGAGCGCTGTCTCTTCAGCATCTCAGATTCCTCTGTGCTTCCTGTGCATGAAGAATCTGAAAAGGGAAACATGGAAGAACAAGTTAACCAGGGAGCAGGTGCAGTAATAAATACCTGTTGCTTCTGTAAAAACATACTACTTTGGAGCATAATAAAATCGCTTCTAAGCTCAGGTTTTATCAAAGACTGATCTCTATGGGCTTAAGTTGGCCAGAAAGATACTGGAGGGACCTGAGACTATGGCCATGGTCACTCTTCAGGTCTGGAACAAACTCACCCCTGTGTATCTATGGGGAACAGCAACACTGCTCAGGTATGCTCCTCATCACAGGGGCAGCATTTACTTAAGGACCAAGTCCGGAAGGGTTGGGAAGAAGGAATGGAAATAATAACCGCAGGGAGGAAGCAGAATAACTGTTGCTACAAGGAGGGGACTGCAATTATCAAAATGAAATAAAGTGTACAATTTGTTGAATGTAAAACTGATGATCTGCTCTGTAAACCTTCATGCAATTCACAATAAAAATTTTTTTTAAAAAAAGAGAGTGCTCTTTGAACACTATGGACTAGTTTATGTAATATGACACGTACTAAGAAGTTCTTAAGAGACAATGAATTATTTAACAGTCCTGGAAGGAATATTTTCCAACATTGCACATGGCTCTCTTTAAATACTAAGAAGGCAGACAAGAAGCAGAAGAATGCAAACAAGTTTTACAGACTTGACCTGTGGGTTTGGATCTAAATGCACTAAGAATGCCACAGACTTTGATGACAGGAATGGACGCCCCTCTCCACTACTCTTGGAATGTTACTGATTTCCCTAAACAGGAATGTTCCACAGTCAGCCAAGAGATTTCAAGCAGAGGAAGGCAGAAACGTAAGCTGACTTTAAACTCAGTATTTTATCTATGCACAACCACACCATGCTGTTTACAACAAAAGACTGGACTGTCCTGATTGAGTTCTTTTTACAACCAGGAAATATTCTCTGCTGCAAAAAAACACAACAAGTTCGAGGCAATTCCCAACGATTGTCGTAAGCACATTCACACTGACAACCTGTTATAATTACCTGGGGGAACTGACCAATTTAAAAACAAAGCTAAACAACAAAAAACCTACTTTGGTACTGGCTGTGTTTTCTTGCTTTTATTTTCAAGTTCTTTCACAAACCTTGCAAGTTGGATGTATATAGAAATGGAAGGAAAGCAAAGTGGGGTACACCCGGCAGGATGTCCTTACCAGTAATGTTCTCAGGCAGTTCCAGCTCCTTCCGGCTCAGTAGCCTCTTTCGCTCAAGGAGAGCAGAGTCCAGACTCTGGCAGCGGGGCTGGTCCTCTCTGGGGGGATTCAGGGCTTCGTGCTTTAGGAGGTCTGCGGCCCTGGGACGGTGGTTGGGGTTTCTCTCCAAGGCTGCCTCTATCAGCTCTCTCATACCAGGACTGCAGTCTTCTGCGATATCTTCCAATGGAGGTGCCTGTTTGTGGATCTGTCAACAGACCAGCTCTCTTAGTAACAATGGGACAGAAACAGGTCTTCACCAGAAAAACAGTAACAGCACCTTAAAAAGCAACTTGTTTCCCACCACATGCTCAGCAGCAAATCCAGTTCATACCCTTGAACACACTGCCCTGCAATTTCCTACAGACACCAAGTGAAACCCATCTTTAAGTTTAAACTTGTAAGATACAGGCTAGGCTTGATTTGCAAACCCTGGGTGATGCAAACTGTTATCTAACAAGGCTGAACTTTGAAAGTTCAAGGCCACCTAGAGGCACCTTGGGAGGATGCTCTACCTCCAAAAGGTGACAGCCTTGAAAACCCCATGTTCTGCACATACAGGGCCCACACTTGAGTCAGACCTGACTCAAGTGCAATCAACAACAGATTTGAATAAGAAGCAACAACTTCTATTTGTATACATTTGTATATCCATTGCAACACTTCATCCTGCAATAATGGAGAAGGATCTGTTCATGAATTTCTCAATGGCAAAGTCAGAGGTGCACACTCTACCTACGTGCCAGGCTGACAGGGACCAAGAACCTACTATCGTTTCAAAGAACATATACAACTGCCTTGTGCCAAAGATATACGATGCTATTCCATGACATTTGATTATTACATGTTATGGGTGGTGTGAATGGTTATCACACTTAGCTGCCAATGAACAAACTGGCAGTTCATGTCCACCCCAAGGTGCTTTGAAAGAGAGACCTGTAGATTACTTTTAAAAAACCAGTCACTGAAAATCCTATGGAGCAGTTCTACTCTGACAAGCGTGGGGTTGCCATGAACAGGAATCAACTCGACAGCAATTGGCTACTGGTTATAATGGAATTGTTGTTGTTGAGTGGCTTCAAATTGGTTCCAACTCATAATGACCCTCTATAGGGTTTCCAGGAGTCTGGGTGTGGTGCTGAGGATAAACACTGGACAACAAGGTTGGTTTGAACCACAGGGTTGGCGGTTCAAACTCATCAGTCGCTCCTCAGAAGCCCCATGCAGGCTCACTATGAGTTGGAAACGACTCAATGGCATTTGACAACAACAACATACGGTTTCCAGGGAGTGGCTGGTGGGTTTGAACAGCATCCCATGCAGTTACGCAGTCCAGTTGCTTATCCTACAGAGTCACACCTGGATTCTTATAATGGAAGTGTGTCAGTAATGCCTAAAACATATTTAAATGGAGTTCCCACTAAAATAGCACTGGCTTCATTGTGAGAGCGGGGCTTCTCTCCACCTGGGAAGAACTTGTGGTTGCCTCTCATGGATCAGAATGTCACCATCACCCCATTCAGGTGTAGACGGCACAGGAGGTAGAACAGCGCCCCCGCCGGGTGGAACACCTTCCTCCCAGCCCCACACCTGGTTTGCCCCCACTTACAATGTAGAGGTACGAGGGGTACGCTGAGCGAGGGTAACGCCTCACCCAGGGTGGGGTGCCCGTCTGCATGTGGATGAGCATGGCCCCCAGGCTGTAGATGTCTGCTTTGGTTGAATGGCCCCTGCACAGAATCACCTCTGGGCTCATGTAGATCTGAGGAATAAGAGGGGAAAGTCAGGCTGAATCCTCTCCTTTGTCAGTTTCTTCCTTTTCCGGGATCCAGGGTGGGAAACTGGCTAATCCACTGTCTGGCCTTTTATTGCACATTTTATCCCCTGCAGCAGAGAATGTCATTGTTGAGTCCCTTTAAGCTAAGAATAATGCAGACATTATCTGGAAGCCAAGTGGCTTGGGCTGGAGGTGTCAGCCTAGTTAGGAACACCTTTTGCCAGAACCTTGCACAAGCCTCAACCCATCTATTGCGGACAGTTCCGACTCCTAGTGACCCGAACAGGGGAGAGGAGAACTGCTCCACAGGGTTTCTGAGACTGTAAATCTCTACAGGCACAGACAGACTCATCTTCCTCCTGAGGATCAGCTGGTGGGTTTGAACTGACAGCTCACGGCTGCTTAACGTACTGCGCTACCAGACTTCCTTGTTGGGTGGAAAAGGGGCCTAGAATCAAGAACCCACCATTACAGTTCTATAAGGCATCGATGTGGAGTAGTTAATTTTTAAATTAAAGCACCAATTCCTTTCATACTGAAATGGACTCAAAAACACCTAACTAACTTCATCGCGTCATGACCTTGTCAGGGTTCCCTGTGCAGTAATCAAAGGCGGCAGCAGGGGTCTACAGGGTATTAATCACCAATTGCTTGGAGGAGAAGGACTTTGAAAATGGTGCTGCATGTATAATGTTACAGAAAAGCGATCCTAGTGAGTCATTTCTAAAAACAACTTATTTCTACCTACTATGTTGTCCGGGGACATAAACATTGTATAAGGGTAGTATTTGGTTCCATGAGTACATGCTGAGTTAATAAGCCTTGTTTTAGAATTTCTCTCATCCGTGTTTGTTTCTAATTTAAAAGAGAAAGAGAATATATGTTTGTAGCTTTAAAAAGTTTTTATATTGTCCGTGACCTTAGAATATGCAGAAGGGAGTTAGTTTTCCCGGAATACACTTCTGAGTTAGTAAGTAAAACCCTGCTTGCAGACAGTGGGGAAACTGCCCAGTTTCCTCATCCTAACCCTGCCCAGCTCTTTCCTACAACACACTTCCTGTATGGCCCACTTTCAAATACACGCTCCCTCTCACTCACTTGCTGCATATCCTCTCTCTCTCTCTCTCAGCAGTCTAACTACAGATCCTCCTTCTCAAGCTTTTCCTGCAGAAAAACATGGAATACTTGGATTCTAAGCCCCTTCTTACTAAACACAATCACAATGTTAAGACAGAAATGCAGTATGTATCATTAACTTCAATTGAGAATGCCTGTTTCCTCCTCCTCGCCCCTAGCCAATAGAGAAGGGGGGAGGACAAACACTGCGTGTGGTTGGTGTCATCAACAGAAGCTAAACAGTGGTCCTGGCTAGAGGTGCCACGCGACTGCACGCTGAGAGAGCATTGTGGGTGGCAACACCCTGTCCAATAGGTGACTTTACTACTACTGCCCCTCAAGGAGATACCCTGAGCTTCAGAGCCCAGTGCTCCTGCTTCTTCAAGTTTTGCAAGAGACAGAAAAGCCTGAGCAAGGAGCAGCTGGGCATGAAGTTACAGGACTCTGCAGTCGACTGAATGCAGGCATGAGCCAGGACTGGTGGAACGGACAGAGGAGGTTTTCTGAGAGAGCCCCACCCTGCAGCATGGGTCCTGGAACCAGGGAACCAAGCCATGGGAGAACGGACCTGCATCCTCCAATGTGTTTACTGAAAGGGGGAAGAAACTGTGTGTGTGATCATGCGATGAAGGTGTACGTAAAGTATTCTGAAGAAAATAAGACCAAGTATAAAAAGAGGCCATGCTGAAAAAATTATTCTAACACATTACTGACACTCACCGCTTTGTCTGTACTCCACACACCTAAAAAACTATAGATTAAATATATACCAGATTCATTCAAAGTATGAGGGGGTTTCAGAAAGTTTGTGGGAGAATGCTAGTATCTTTTCATTCCATTTGGCCATGAACTTTGTGATGCCCTCTCGTATAATAACAGGCTTCCTGTATAATGTCTGGAATATATACCCTGAGACAGAACAGAAAGAAACATGGCTGGGTCCACACTCACATATGCGAGTTATATTTCTAAGATCAGAAATCAGCCAAGTGATCACGTCTTAACAGAAAAAACCCCAAATGGCAAGGGCTGCCTTTGACTAAAACTTACTAGCTTTTTAATGTATAAGGAGCAAAAACAAACTTGCAGAAATGCTCCCAATAGTGACTTCACAATCTGCTTATTACCACACTTGGACCAGTGAGTGCTAAACAGATAGCAAACCCAGCTTGGTTAGAGGAGACTTCAGAGCTATAAAAAGGGAGTCAAGCCTTAGAAGCCAGTTTAGCCAGTTCACAGCAAACAATATACATCTGCTGAAAATAACTTGGTCTAAACACCACTCAGGAGTGAGCGCTATGCTATCATTTCACACCCAAGTACACATTCTCTTTCTGCTAGAGAATCCCAGAAAGGACATGTCTGTCTCCGGCATTGCAAAATGTTCAGTTTAATCACGCTACCAGGAAGGGAAAGGTATTTTCCATCTTTAATACCATAAACAGTGTGCTGCTCAAACTGGCTTCAGGAAAAAGGGTGGAATGTCAAATATCTCAACTCCTGATAAATGCCAAAATATGCTGAAGCATTTCCCAAAGAAAACATGTCGTAAGTATTAAGTCTTAATGGATTTTGTGCTTTTGGCAAAGTATTTGTAAACTCAGGAGACATTCTTTAAAAAAAAAACACAAAAATTTTTGCTCAAAGAAGACTATAAAAACTCTACACCCAAGTATTTACCAGCAATAACTTTAAGTAATAAAATAAGGGTTTCTTCTGATGTCTGAAGATGCTTTGTTTTGACAGTTACGAGAAGGCTTATAGAAATCTGGTTTGGAATGATGTTCTGGAGGGGCTTTCTGCACCTCAGTTTAGTTCAGTGCAACAGATACACTACCTAGACTTGGATGAACACCAAGACTGATGTGGGAAACTTGAGGAAAAGGTGCAACCGAGTGTCCTCTATTTGCTATTGTTAAGTACCGTCAAGTTGGTCCCAACTCATGGCAACCTACCTTGTGATTCAAACCAACTTTGTAGTTGCGTGCTTACCCTACAGCGCCACATCAGGACTCCCTATTTGTTATAAGCAGAGCCAATAATGAGAACCGCTGTGAGTCTTTGACTAGTGAAATATCCCACAAGGGTGTAGAGGGGGACAGAAATGTAGATTTTATAGAAACGTACCGCCCCAGTGGTTAAGTACTCAGCTGCTCACTACAAGGTAGGGAGTTTGAATCCACCAACTGCTCTGCATGCAAAAGATGAGCAGTCTGCTTCTGTATACTCTCCTACCAAAATACCAAACCCAACCCACTGCCACCGAGTCAATTCGGACTAGAGTGACCTGCTATAGGGTTTCCGAGGCTGTAAATCTTTACAAGAGCAGAAAGTCTCATCTTTCTCCCAAGGACTATTGGGTGGGTTTGAACTGCTGACCTTGCGGTTAACAGTGCAGTACTTAGTCTCCAGTGTAAGTCAGAATCGAATTGGCGTCACTGGGTTTTTTCTTCGCATTAGCACCCAACCCTGTCATAACATATTGTGAAATAAGCAGCTGATATTTGAATAATTTTGGTAAATTGAAAGTAGGTCTTCTCCCCCCCGAGATGGTACCTCTCCAGCACCACTGAGCGTACGGTGCTTGTTAATTCTGTTTAATGCTTTAATCCTGGTGTCTTTAATAGACCCTGTCACATAGCAGGTGCTCAATAAACATTTGCTAGATGAATCAGTTATTCTTTCTAAAAATATGAGTTGCTAAATTAAATATAGTGTGTAAAAGTCCACGAATGCATTTCTCTAAATCACTTCTAGATTCAGGAATAGTTGGGTTTTTGCTAGTTTGTTTTTTTGTGTGTGTTTTTTCACAAATGAGTTAAATATTGTAGCTATTCAATGCAGCAATTTTCCTTCCCTTCTTAACCTTCTTTGCTACAATAATTCTAAAGTGATTTAAATACATTATTCTTAATAGGATATTAACCACTTTCGTGTGACTATAATTACCTCTGTTCCTCGGAGATCTTTAGGAAAATAGATATCTTCAGTCATTTGAACACTGAGGCCAAAATCCACCAAAACAGCTTTTGTGGACATGAAAACAATGTTGCTAGCTATCAAGAGAAAGAAAATTTCATTTTAGTACAAAACTGTACACATATACCTAAATAAGAGGAAACCATTATCTAAGGCACTAGGTTCTAAATCACACTGGACAGGAAATGTTTTTCCACTTGAGATGAGTGTATTATTGCCTTCAAAAGTGGATGCAGTCAGTGGATCTTGGAAGAGTTCGAGTGAAAATTAGTCCACATCAGTCAAGAACTCAGCCAGTGTGGGTATAGACGGTGAGAACCGTTAATGATGCTCAAGAGCTTGAGTCTCAAATTCTAAAGCTATCGCCATACTATTATTAAACCACTCTTCTGAAACAATTACACTACCTGTTGTTTATATGTTTGGAGGACGTTATATTTTTTTTTAGTAAAAATCTTGCTAGTCCAACTTAGCTACAGCAGTTACCTAAACTGACGTTGTATGTGTCTTGAATACTTCCTTGCCACATATTACTCTAGAAAGCAGTCACTGAAGACTTGTTAAAATCAAAAAGCTATTTGTTTCGCAAAAATATATGACTCTGTATGGGCTCGTGGAGCTCGAGTCAAGATGGAGGAGTATGTGTGAAAACCTTGCCCCTGGCAAATCGTGGATGACTGCGGTGGGACCTTACGATGGGCACCCTAGGTGGTGGAATCTTTCAAGCAATCAAAGGTTTTCAGAATTTTCCAGTGGGAGTCAACCACAGACAGCTATTAAAACAAAGCCTCCATAGTTGGGAGGCAGCTTTGCAGTTTGTGGGGGGGCGTCTGTTTTCCATGATTTACTGGAGTATTATGGTTCAAGTCAGAGGGAAAGAAGATCCCTGGAACTCCATCACAAGTGGTACCTTAACAGGAGCCATACTGGCAGCAAGAAATGGACCAGTGGCCATGGTTGGGTCCGCTGCAATGGTTAGCATTTTCCTAGCTTTCATTGATGAAGCTGGTATCTTATTGACAAGATTTGCCTCTGCACAGTTTTCCAATGCTCCTCAGTTTGCTGAAGATCTCTCCCAGTTGCCTTCAACATAGTTCCCATCCTCACCTTTTGGAGACTATCAACACTACCACTAGGACTAGAGCCCCAAGATTTAACAGAATGAGCTATAGTTCAAGAAAGATTTTAGAAGACCGCATTCCAATCTGTTTTTAAAACCAGAGATGGGGCAACTGTGGCCAAATAGGCTATCAGAAGACATTTAACACTTTTTGCTATTTAGAGGAAAGTGGGGAGAGAGGCAAAGATAATGCATTTATTTATTCACACTTGGATTGCTTTTGTGAAAAAAAAAAAGTCTAATATTATAAAAAGAAAATATAATAAGTGCTTAAAAGATGAAGGACCAAAGGACAGTTAACAATGAAGCGTGACCATCATCACTTCCTTGGGAATGTCTCTGCATAGTTTTGGGTGTTCTATTATTCAAACAATAACAACTATTGGAACTTAAAAAATATATATATATATG